ATGGGGAGTTGATGTCCGAGTGGATCGAGGTCACGATAGCTCAGGTGGTAGAGCAGCGGCGTATCAAGCCGAAGGTCGTGGGTTCGAATCCCTCTCGTGCCATAAACTTTTTTGCATCTCAACTAAAAACCTTAATTAATTGCAAGTAAGAAGCTTAATTGAATCAGATCCATGCATGATGATCCATCCAATCATCATTTGGGATGAATTATTGGCCCTGTACAAATATTTTAGGCTGTTATATCATTGGTTATTTATCTTATGATAAAACCTAACAAATTACTATTTTCAGGACTGGCATTGGCATTATCATCTAAGCAATTTGAAACTTGACAATTTTCACCCAAGCTCAGTTGGTTGAAAAGACCGATTGCTTCTTTTATAGTTTTAAACGCTTTCCAGTCCGGATTATCAAAATGTACCCGACCCAAAAACCACCCCCTTACTATTTCCCATTTTATGCGTAACATGCCGAGTTCGAACAAAGAGATACATAATAATAAACTGCTAAATCTTTTCAATCATGTTTCACTTTTATAAAATGACAAGTAGAAGTATTTTTAAAACAGGAAATGAAAATATAGATATGATAATAAATTTCTTATCAATTAATACAAACAACTTGGCACTGATACTAAATGGTTATAAATGAAAATATCACTTAGAAGACACCCCCCCCCCCAAAAAAAAAAAAAAAAAAAATTAAAGGGATTTTTGAGACTATATGCATGTTTTTGCAATATTTGATTCAAATTAGGATAGATTTCACTCCTGTATTTATTTTTTATGTAAGAGTAAAAAGAAAGTTCTACAAACTTGAGACTAGTAATCAGCAACAAGAACATAATTTTCTTTGTTAAATGCTGATTTCAGGTGTATGGTCTTAAAGAAATCGGAACACAGCGACTTGCCAAGGTTTCAGTTTTTCTTCAGGGTAGAAACCCGTTATTTTATTATTAAGAAGTTTCCTTTCTTACAGTTCAGAAAATGGGATGGGCTACCCCACCCATTTTGTCTGATATTAACTAAAAACTTTACTTCGCTTGAGAACTGCAGCAATCACATATTCTTGGCTATTCTTGTTTTTTCCTGTACCCTTCACTCGTAATATGTACAAACAAAATAATTTTTAAAAAAAGAAGTAATTTCTTATTTTCTTTGTTTGGCTGGTAGCCGTCATGACAGATTTTTTTCCCCCGTTCCACCTGATGGTCTCTTAGGATATGGGTATGAGTTGAAAACCAATGCTAGCGTGCCAAAAAAATTAGAAAGGAAAACTTCCAGATATTTTTTTTGCTTAATCTTTCGGCATTGGCCATACATCTATTTACTCATGAGACAGAATGTAGTGCCAACGCTGTAGGCAGATATCCTTGCACAGCCACTCAGGGAGATTATATATATATAATATTATGCAGGGTGGGTGACCAAGACCCGAGGGGATGGGGTACAGGCCTACCTAGGCTTTTAACCCTTCGGGTCCTGGTCACCCGCCCTGCGTAATATATAAGACCCGAGGGGTTAAATGCCTGGGTAGACTCGTACCCCATCCCTAAAAGGTCCGGGTCTTGGTCGGCTCACGTGTCCTGCATAAACCTCTTGGACTTGTTCACAAATCCCAAGATTTTGGACCATTTTATCTCGAGGAGTGATTTGGTGATGTCCTCTCCTTCAAAGATTTCAAATCTAGACCTGCAGTGATTGATGACTACCTAATCCAATCCCAGATTTTATTTAAATATTGGTCAAAATGTCAAACATGGCATCTAAAACTTCCTGTCACCTAACCTCAAAACTTGGACCATGTTAGTTGGAAGCAGGATTGTCAAAATTAAACTGCTTATGAGCCTCTCTCTACCTATGGAACAGTGTGCATGCAAGTAGAGTATGGTCAGCCGATGGAGCCATCCAGGAGGTGATGGGGTAGCCTGTTATATAGACATGGTCTGCATATTGATGTGAAAAATCTCCTACGTCAGTTTATGTTATTAAACCATGGTTTTGTTTAAAGGGACAATTAAATAGCTGCGTAATATTTGCCTTTGATGTGTTTGTAAAATTTGTATTCTCTTTGTCACTTCTTTTTAACGATGTGTCCAATGTGAGAGCGAATGTCCAGAGAAGATATTACTAAAATAATAATAATAATATACTTTTATAGCAAAAAAAAAGAAAAGTTATAAACATTACATAATATACATTTAAAGTAAATTTACAGCATGTAGGGTCCATCTGCCGGGAAAGTCTTACTTCAATTTATTCCCTCGGCCATCTACTTTGACACTTCACATACCTTTGAATTTCACAAGCTTTAATCCTCAAAACTTATATAACTACGTCGCCACGTTCTTAAACAACTGTAGCCTTAATATGTAATACGTTTATACAAACTACAACGCCGGATAAGAATTGAAGATATTACTATATACTAGTTTCTTTGGTCAAGAAATCAACCTGATTGTTGAAAGGGTTGGTGTTATGAGCCTTAACCCGCATAAAATGGATTTTAGTGGATGAAATAAAGTTACGTTGTATATTAGTTGTTTTATTTCTACGATGGGGTTTTTTTTTTTTTGGACAATTTTGAAGGGCAGTAAGAACACTAAGGCTGTCAGGACATAAAATGGCCCTTTTTCAGGACCTGACATGTTGCTAAACAGACTACCTATTTTTAAGAAATGTAGGGAAAAAAACAATCAGATTTCAAAATGTTTTGAGTTAAAGAAGAGAGTTTCGATCCTTCATTTCATTGAATAAATTATTATTTTCTCACAGTACTTTCTGAAGGACCTGGCATTAAAAAAAAGTAGCAAAATTCTTACAAATGAAATTCATCCTTGTAAAATATAGGTTATAAATGGAAATTAAAAAAAAAACATCAACGCATATTTATGATCATGATTGTTTACCTCTCTCATTTTTAAAATATTAAGAAATATATTTTATAATTGTAATAATTAAGTGGTTTTCGAAAAATTCAAAGAACAAGTTGCGATTGGAGTAAAATTATCAACTTACTGCACTCTTGACGTGATAGGACATTTTCAGCAGAGGTATTCAGCAAGTTTTGTATCCGAAATAGCAGTGAAATTCAGCAATACTTGAATTGTCGGTCGTAATTGAACAGATCAATAACGGTGAGAAGTGTGTTTAACCAAGAGACAATTGCGTAAACCCTCGACTCCCGAAAGCTGTAAACAAAGTGAGATCATAGAAGGAAATAGGTTAAAAACGAAACAGAAGAAGGACGACTAAGAAGAGTGAACAATCGTGGAAAAACACTCACGTGATGATATATTTCTCAGAAATGTGTGGTAATCTTTCCGGTTAAGCTTCAAGGGCGTATTAGACTGATGAAAAAAGACAATTTCAAGTAGTGGCATGTAATTAGTGAAATAGCAAGGCTCGATTTGTATTAAAATCGATAGCATACACTTATCGTTTTTCAGTGTATTATTCAAATTTTATATCAAAATGGTAATAAAATAATAATCTTTAATCTAATTTGTCTATTTGATTTACTGTTAAACAATAAAAATAGTTACATGGCGTTTTTTTTAAACAAACAACCTACAGAACAACTCTTTCTCAGGTTGAACGATATGACAAATAACAGATATATTTAACAGAAAATGTTTTGTCACCGAGAGCAAACAGACAGAAAAGAAATTTGACATGACATCAGAAGAAATGACTCAGGTTACATATGCATCTTTTGTTAACGACCAACCTAAAGAAAAAAATTACTCAGGTTGCACGGTATATTTTCACTTAAACCTTCAGCATAAAAAATTGGAAGACAAATAAGAGAATATATGTAGTACCACACTTTTTCTCTCAGAAGAAATGACTCAGGTTACATATTTTTACTTAAACCTTCAGCGTACAAAATTTATATTTGTTATTCCAAGACAAATAAGAGAATATATGTATGTGGCACAGCAATTTTTATCAATGGGAGCAAACAGACAGAAAAGAAATTTGACATGGCATCAGAAGAAATGACAGGTTACATATGCATCTTTTGTTAACAACCAACCTAAAGAAAAAAATTATTCAGGTTGCACGGTATATATTCACTTAAACCTTCAGCATAAAAAATTGGAAGACAAATAAGAGAATATATGTAGTACCACACTTTTTCTCTCAGAAGAAATGACTCAGGTTACATATTTTTACTTAAACCTTCAGCGTACAAAATTTATATTTGTTATTCCAAGACAAATAAGAGAATATATGTATGTGGCACAGCAATTTTTATCAATGGGAGCAAACAGACAGAAAAGAAATTTGACATGGCATCAGAAGAAATGACAGGTTACATATGCATCTTTTGTTAACAACCAACCTAAAGAAAAAAATTATTCAGGTTGCACGGTATATATTCACTTAAACCTTCAGCATATAAAATTGGAAGACAAATAAGAGAATATATGTAGTACCACACTTTTTGTCAATGGGAGCAAACATACAGAAAAGAGTTTGGCATGACATTTTTTGTAACAATGAGTTAAAGAAGAAGTCACTCAGGTTGTACAATATATTTTTTCTTAATCCTTCGGCATACAAAATTTGTATTCATTATTCAAAGACAAAGATGAGAATATATGTAGCTCCACAATTTTTGTCAATAGGAGCAAATGGACAGAAAAGAAGTGTGACATGACATATTTTTTAACAATTATCTAAAGATGAAATCCTTCTGCAATGAATGCTTTGGATCAATCAACCATGTGGATGTGGCATCATTTTGAACAATCAACTTAAAGAAGAAATCATTGGATTAGATGATATATTTTTACTTAAATCTTCAGTCTACAAAATTTATATTCATTATTACAAGAATATATGTAGCACCACAATTGTTATCAATAACAGCAAACAGACAGAAAAGAAGTGTTACATGGCATCGTTTTTAACAATTACCTAAAGGAGAAATCATTCTACAATAAATGTATTGGACAATCACCATAGTAGATTTGCTAAAAAGAAATTGGACTAAATTAGCCTGAGGAAAATCAGGTACTTACTAAAAAGAAATGTGCCATGGCATCGTTTTTAACAATCAACTTAAAGAAGAAATCGTTCAGGTTACACAATATATTTTTACTTAAACCTTCAGTATACCAAATTTATATTCATTATTGCAAAACAAATAATATATATGAATGTAATATATGTGAATCAAATGTGACATGGCATCTTTTTTTAACAACCAGCCTAAAGAAGAAATAACTCAGGTTGCATAATATGTTTTTATTTAACACCTAACCTTTTATTATCCACCTGCGAGGATAATTTATGTTCATTATTGCAAGACAAATAACAGAATATATATGAATGTAATATATGTGAATCAAATGTGAAAGGCATCTTTTGTTAACAACCAACCTAAAGAAAAAAATTACACGGTTGCACAGTATATTTTCACTTAAACCTTCAGCATATAAAATTGGAAGACAAATAAGAGAATATATGTATCACCACACTTTTTCTCAATGGGAGTAAACAGACAGAAAAGATGTGTGCCATGGCATCAGAAGAAATGACTCAGGTTACATATTTTTACTTAAACCTCCAGTAAACAAAATTTATATTCGTTATTCCAAGACAAATAAGAGAATATAATATGTATGTGGCAGAGCAATTTTTGTCAATGGAAGCAAACAGACAGAAAATAAATTTGACATGGCATCAGAAGAAATGACTCAGGGTACATATGCATCTTTTGTTAACAACCAACCTAAAGAAAAAATACTCAGGTTGCACGATATATTTTCACTTAAACCTTCAGCATATAAAATTGGAAGACAAATAAGAGAATATATGTATGTGGCAGAGCAATTTTTGTCAATGGGAGCAAACAGATAGAAAAGAAATTTGACATGGCATCAGAAGAAATGACTCAGGTTACATACGCATCTTTTGTTAACAACCAACTTATTTTAAAAAAGAGCCAGTGTGGTACTTATTCAGACTAGAAACAAACGTTTTAATATTTTGAACCTGTTAGGTTTTTTGGCTCTTTTTTAAAATAAATTGTTATAAAATATTAATGACTGACGACCACTTTTTTAACCATTGCGTTAACTCACCTGAGGAAGGATTAAAATAAATCTGAAACGTTGTGGATAAAAACTGGTTGTGGTTTTTTGAGATGACCTATTATCCCACCTTCAAGAAGGAAGAATCATAAGATTAACTGTTGAGGTCGAAATATAAGAAAACATTTAACAACCAACCTAAAGAAAAAAATTACTCAGGTTGCACGGTATATGTTCATTTAAACCTTCAGCATATAAAATTGGAAGACAAATAAGAGAATATATGTAGTACCACACTTTTTCTCAATGGGAGCAAACATGCAGAAAAGACATTTTTTGTAACAATGAGTTAAAGAAGTCACTCAGGTTGTACAATATATTTTTTCTTAATCCTTCGGCATACAAAATTTGTATTCATTATTCAAAGACAAAGATGAGAATATATGTAGCTCCACAATTTTTGTCAACAGTAGCAAACGGACAGAAAAGATGTGTGACATGGCTTTTTTTTAAACAAATACCTAAAGAAGAAATCATTATGCAATGAATGCCTTGGACAATCAACCATAGAAGATTTGCAAAAAATTTGGGCTGAATTAGCCCGAGGAAAATCCAATACTTACTAAAAATAAATGTTATATGGCATCGTTTTTAACAATCAACTTAAAGAAGAAATCATTCAGGTTTCACAATATATTTTTACTTAAACCTTCCGTGTATACAATTTATATTCGTTACAAAAGCAAACCGGCAAAGAAGAAATGTGCCACGGCATCTTTTTTTACACCACAAACATAAAGAAGAGACCACTCAGGTTGTACAATATATTTTTACTTAAACCTTTAGCATACAAAATTTATATTTATTTCAAGACAAATAAGAGAATATATGTAACATCACAATTTTTGTACATGGGAGTAAATAGACATTAAAGAAACAAGAAGTGGCGTGTTTTTTAACAATTACATAAAGATCATTCTGCAATGAATGCATTGGATCAATGAACTGTAGTATATGTGCTAAAAAAATTAAGGCTGAATTTCCCTGAGGAATATGCTTTGGGGGTAGTGTGATTAAATGTATGTAATTTATTAGCGTGAATAGAAGGCCGTATTCCCAATTACCCTGAATAATATCGAGTAATCTAAGGTATTGTGAATGCTAACCAGACTATTTGTGTTTGTTATTCATGTTATTTTATCCAAAATTACCAACACCCTGAGATTCAAATAGGCTGAACTGTTAGAACTAACTAACTGTTGAAAAGTTGGAAAAGATTTTCAGCAGTTAATTTCGACAATGATGTATAAATTAATGTCATATTTATAATGCCAAGGAGTGTTTAATGTTCATGCTATCCAAATAAACGTCGAACATTGATTTCAACCTGATGCTTGGGGCTGAGTGAGCATGAGAGGCATAAGTCTGTGGCAGTTGATGGCAGGTTGTAGACTCTAGTATGTTAACCTTCTGCTAGTACGGTTACTAAACTACTTAAGTAATAATTATAATAAATAAAATTTACTAGAATTGAATAATTACTTTACAACCTTGCGATACTCCCAGTTGTCTGTTTGTATTTAACTAAGCTATGGCCATAACAGGTGGTTTTCTTTTTTAAAGCATGTTGAATTTCTTTCTTGTGTCTAATTATAATAATGAATCTTTAATTCTAAAGAACATTTTATCCGTAATTACAGATTAGTTCAGTATAAAAAGTCTGACAAGTCGACAATACTTATTTGTTCGAAATGGGGGATGCTGAGCCTTCCGAAGTTTTGGAAGGATTTATCTGCCCAATATGTAAAGCCGATTTTGGGAATCCGAGAACACTGTTGTCCCATTTTCAGGAGGAACATTCCGATGAACAGGATTTAATTAAGACATTGAGAGGTATTAAAAATTAGATAAATTTAAGCTTTATTGAAGTTTGTCTTTGTTTCTTTCTCGTCTTATTCCTACTGCACTTTAAGATTTTTCATGCGACGAAGTGGCTTTTTGTTTCGTATGTAGATCATTTCGGTCATTGCTGTTTTACGAGTTGTTTGACGTCTGGCAGGCCAAAAGGATCAACCGATCTAGGATCCGTCAGCCCGCAGGCGTCAAGAATTCTCATAATTATGTCGTATTCGTATGAAACAATTGCCCGCACTACTGCACAAAAACCTGAAGATTGAGCTTTTATTAAATTGCTACTATGTTCTATCAATGCTTTAATCCTGTCCTTTCCAAGCTTAATTTAGTACAATTGTACCAAAAAAAAAAAAAAAAAAAAAAATTGTACAAGAAAGAAAATGGATAGAAAATATAGCAGCTATTTGTTATGGCTTAGAAAAAATAAATATTCAGGGATAATGTTGTTTTTCCCATGATTTTGAAATAAAGTAGGATAATATCTACAAAACAATGAAAATAAAACAATAATAATAATACAGCAAAGTTTTAATTGTCTGCATGTTAAGTATTTTGTGTTTTATAGTTTAAAAATATTGCATTTGAATCATTTGACTGATTTTTTTTGGCCTGGGGGTCTGTGTCTAGCCTATAGTCTTGATTTAGTTCTATTGTGGAATTGACGCTTTTTTTAAATTTCTGTTCACAAGAAAGTGCACAAAATGGCAAAAAGGAGGGAAAATTCAAAAGGTGGGGTTGAGATGTGAAGTTAGTGTCCGAGTGGATCGAAGTCACAATAGCTCAAGTGGTAGAACAGCTGCGTATCTAGCTGAAGGTTGTGGGTTCGAATCCCGCTTGTGTCACTGACTTTTTTATCTCAACCAAAACCTTAATTAATTGAAAAGTGCACAATGTTGACTGTGAAGAATGCACGAGGCGAGCCACTTCATAGGAAACATTTTGGCATCTGGCACTCTGCAGTACATGTTAAGGTAGTTGTTTCCAGTGTTCATATTTGCTTATTCCCCTAAGGGTTAGTGTCACCCTAATGTCTTCTGTTTCGTGTCACTCGTTAAGTTTCTGTTTCAGTTTTTACCATTTTTTTAAGGTGGTAATTAAAGTCACAGCCCAGTATAAATTGACCATGATTGATTTTTAACTTAAACATTACATGTTTACTTATATTTGTTCATTTTATTGGTAGCAGTATGCATTTTTGGGCTGAAAAACATCAAGTGGTCATCACCATCCCTCTGCGCTTTAAACGGATTTTTCCCCCGCTCATCTTTGTCATCGACTCTTTCATATTTTGTCTCATGTTTTCTTAATTTGCTAACCTCTCGGAATTAAAACCAGTTGTCAACTATTAAAAGAACAAGAAAAAGATTTTCATGCTTCCCACTTGGCCTCGGATAGTGTGTAGAGGAACCATCCCTACAATGCCTCGTAAAAAGCCAGTAGACAATGCCATTTTATTAGTTTAATTTTAATTTTTATCATTAGGATTCAAGATTCTTCTTAAATTAATATGAGAAAATCTAGAGTAAATTAATTACATTCATTGAAATAATAATAATTTATTACAAAACATGCTATAAAAATATATATGGATGCAAATTTTCCTTATTAATATTTCATTATCTGTAGATAAGAATTTGTTAAATTAATTTCTGGAACAAGATTTCTGCTGGAAAAAAATGCTGTTCTTTAAAATTAACAGTGTTGGCAAAGCTGTTATTCCAAAGGCCCAGGATAAAATTGAAAATATGATGATGTTTTAGACTTTTGTGTCATTAGCAATCCAAAGTTAGAGCTTTTTTTTCTTCTTCATCCTGCCCTCTGATGTTCAGCTCCAATTCAGGACTCCTAGGCCATTCCTTCATACAATGATTTATTAATTATACATTTTCTATTTTTCTGAACTGTCATGAATGTTGCTTACCTTGTAATTTTTTTACAGATATTTTTGATAAAGCCAAAAAGAAAATACTAAAGCATGAAGTTACAACTGAATTTACTAGTCCAAGATCTACGTCTACAAACAGTTTTGTTTACATCCAGGAATCCCAACAGATGGGTAAGATTGCTAATTAAAAATATTAATGATTAATACATATTTATTTTACACATATTTCTTCCTATCAAAAGAAGTGTCATCACTCAAATGCTTAGGAATAATCTCCGACTGAAAAATGTCTTGGCATGATCACAATAGGTTTGTATTCTTCCTAACTCATCAACAGCTTAAGTAGATTTGTTAAAGTCCATTGGGGACTTGGATACGATGCTCTGGAAATTATTTATAAAGGTGCTGTTTTGCCTATCCTAACATATACAGCACCAGTATGAAGCACAGCCCTCACCATGAAAAATAAAGTAGAAAAAGTAAAATAAAAAAAGTAGAAAATAAAATGTATAGGACCATTTCCTTTGAGCGGCATGCATTCTGGTGGAGTATCCACCTATTGGCTTGGTGATTAAAGGGAGGATGTTTTTTCGACAACTTACGCAAAATCTGAAAAGCAAAGCCCTAATTACAACTTTGAAAAATTATTCCATTAAAAGAGAGAACACATCTGGCTTGACAAGAATATACCCGACATAGATATAAGTGATGAAGAATGCGACCCAGCTGCTTGTACAGATGGTAGTAAAATAAATGGTAGATGACAATCAATTAAGGTTTTTTGAGATGAAAAAAAGTTAATGGCATGAGAGGGATTCGAACCCACGACCTTCGGCTAGATACGCCACTGCTCTACCACCTGAGCTATCGTGACCTCGATCCACTCAGATATCGACTCCCCATCTCAACCCCACCTTACGAGTGGTAGAGCAGCGGCATATCTAGCCGAAGGTCGTGGGTTCGAATCCCTCTCATGCCATTAACTTTTTTTCATCTCAACTAAAAACCTTAATTGATTGTCATGTATTAATTGGTCGAGCGGACCACGAAAATAGTGGAATAAATAGTAGAGTAGGATGTGTCATATAAAAAAGAAAAAAGAAAAAAATAGCATTGAGAAAATCTATACAGTCAAAATCTATATGACAGATTGGTCATCAAATAATCAAGGTGAGCTTTATGCAATAAAAACAGTGTACAAATGAAAAAAAAGAAAGAAAAAAGGCCAAATTACTATAACACAAACAGATAGGTAACGACTATGAGAAAAGATAACAAAAATTGCAAAGAGATAGTTGAAAAAGTAATGAAATCTATTAGGTTCCTGAATGATACATGTTTAAAAGTATATCTAAAGTGGATCAAGGCACACAAAGGAGTTGAAAGAAATGAAGAAGTCGACAACTAGCAAGGAAGCAGTAAAAAAAGTGTTATAGTGGATGGAACCTTGAACAAATGAAAAAAAAAAGACCAAATTACTATAATGCGAGCAGATAGGTAACAATTCTTAAAAAGATCACAAAAATTGCAAGATAGTTGAAAAAGCAATGAAATCTATTAGGTTCCTGAATGATACATGATTAAAAGTATACCTGAATTGGATCAAGGAACTAGTGGGAGAGAAAAGAAATGAAGAAATCGACAAACTAGCAAGGAAGAATCGCTTAGTGAAAGATTGGAAACATCCTTTCAAGAATGCCATGTAGTTGTGTCTTAAACTTAAACAAAATCTTCCCCGAAGAAAAATGACCAGAAGAATGGAAAATTGCACACAAGGGAAAGCAAACTAAACCCTTCTTTCCAATGATTAACTTTGTAACTAATTTTGATGAATAATTGTAAACTGCCCCAGGTCATGGCCGGACATATTTGCAGAATATTTGCACCGATTTGGCATTATAGACAGCCCAACATGTCTCTGCAATACCAGGACAGTCAAACATGGAATCACCTCATCTATCATTGTAAAAAACAAGAAAAGGGTAGATCGGCATTACTAAAACACATTCTACCCCGAGGGTTGGCCTCAAAAGAAGCAATGATAATAAAATAATACTGAAACATACTTTAAATTTATTACGAGCATCAATTTTGAAAAATTATAAATTTAATAATAAACTTTTTTCTTAATAAAGTCTCACTAAATTTTTAATTATGTAATACTTAAAAAATTAAACAACTTAATTCAATATCGTGCAGATGTAATCATGTAATGGAAGCTTGTCAAATATACTCCATTGCATAGTTACTGTGGAATTTTTTTTTTCAAATTGTAATAATTGTTGCATTGATAATAATGTTGCAGATATTTTTAGGGCTGGTAAACTACATTGAACCTCACCAGATCTCTTCTTGCCATTATATTCTTTTCTCGCATTTTCTTTGTCATACTTAATTTTTCATCTGCACCTAGGCCTACATTTTGCTTAACTGTAGATACATACAAATTGCTAGAACTAAATAATAATTAGGGGACCGCGGTAGCCGAGTGGTTAGCATGAGAGACTCTCACTGGTCATGGGTTCGATTCCCACCGTCGCCTCTGGCCCTTTTTTCACAATAACCCCCCCAAATTTGAACACACATATACAAATTGTCACATGGCTAATGTGCATAGTTCATAACGAAAAAAAAAAAATTATTTATTTTGTTGCTACTAATTTTTCTGACACTACAGCCAAGATATATTCACATACGGTTTGCATGTTAAGGTAACCGACTCTCGTTCCTCTAACTTATTACATTTAAAAACACGATAGTCTGGTTAGCATTTACACTGGTCCAGAGTACTTGGTTTCCATCGGGGTAATTGGTAAAGAAGCCACTCATTCACGCTAATAAATTACATCCTCATAGGTGAACTTAATTTATATTGTCCCAGAGTACTCAATGTTCCTAGGAGTACTAGTAGAAGCTCCTCATTCATGCTAATAAATAACATCCAAACGCCAACTTTACTCATACTAACCTCAAGTTCTCGATGTTCCTCAGAGTAATAGAAGCTCCTCATTCATGCTAATTAATAACATCCACACACCAACTTTACTCACACTAACCTCAAGTTCTCGATGTTCCTCAGAGTAACAGAAGCTCCCCATTCATGCTAATAAATTACATCCTCACACTAGACTTCATTCATATTGTCCCTGAGTATTTGATGCTCCTCGGGGTAACAGAAGCTCCCCATTCATGCTAATAAATTTCATCCACATATCAACTTTACTCAGATTGATCTCAAATACTTGATGTTCCTCTATTCATGGTAATAAATTACATCTACACACCAGGCTTTATTCACACTGTCCTTGAGAATTCCATGTACCTTGGAGTAATAGGAGAAGAAGCTCTTTCCATTCACGCTAATAAATTACATCCTCACATTAGACTTCATTCCCATTGTCACAAAGTACTCGATGTATAAGTAATAAGAGAAGAAACTCTTCTTTGTGCTAATAAATTTCATCTCAGACTTTATTCACACTGTCCTTGAGAACTCCATGTACCTCAGGGGAATAGGACAAGCTCCTGATTATGTGGATGTTATTTATTAGCATGAATGGAGAAGCTTCTCCTATTGCATTATTTCTCCTAAGAACACTGAGACCCCGGGACTGAGGATGTAATTTATTAGTGTGGATGGATGAGCTTCTCCTCCTTTAAACCTGACGTACATTGTGTACTCTGGAGCAGGGTGAAGAGGGCTTAATGCTTAATGCCCAGTTACCTGTTTTGATGTGGTTGAGGGTTTTAAGTCGGGATTTGAACCCAGGACTGGCAAATGGGAGTTGGACACTCGGCCACTGCAGTCCCCTTGGTTTGTGGATGTAATTTATTAGTATAAATTGAGAAAACTTAACTTGACTGCTGCATCAGAAAAGTGAATTGGTTAGGAATAAAATGTGGGAAGGAAAAGGGGAACAGTAAAGAATGAGATTGCAATGTTGTTTCCTCGATGTAAATATATGGTAAATGTCTAAAGTTGTATATGTAATATTTCAGGCTTGACTAGATGTCATAAAGAATATTTTATGCAAATAAGAGAAGAGAGACAGCAAAGAATTGCCGTTCCCACAAATCAAATTATAATCAGATTAGAAAAATTATTAGATAAAATGCCAACCGACCCTTCAAAAAGAAAGCGTATGTATTAATTCAAATTATTAGAACATTTATCAAATGATACAATTTTTCTTTACCTTCTTGAGGGTTGCTTGAAGAATAAGCTTTTACCATAATAAAGAAGTTTGGTGAAAAAATATTTTTTTTAAAACAAAAATCACATAAACTTAAAAGTAATTGATTGATTATGTATAAAAAACAATAATATAGATTGAGCAATTAAAACAAGATAACTTTGTTTAGATGCTTGATTGCCGAATTTGTTTTGTCTTTTGAGACTTGTAAATAATAAAAATGTTTAAAAAATCCAATAATATTAACAACAAAAAGATATATGGTGATCGTGATAGCTGAGGTCAATCTCGATTGATCAAGTTCAATCCCCAGCCTTTGAATGACACAATCCGTCATCTACGACTCTTCAAAAGTAGGTGGATGTTAAACAATGTACTACATAGAGTAATTTAACGATATTTATGTAGATAAAAAAAGTGATTATTTTGTTCTACTCTTTAAAAAATATAATAATTAAAATTTAATTAATTACACTTTTAATCTAAGGTCTTGGTTGAGATCACAAAGCAAGTGTCAGCAGGATTTGGACGCAGTTAAAGGTTGTCGAATCGCATCCTGCTCGCGACACTTGCTTTTTCATCTCAACCAAGACCTCAGATTAAAAGTATAATTAATTTAAAAAATTAGTAGTATTAATATTATTATTAGTAATTAATAGGTCAAATATGAATGCTAAATGCATATATGGATTAATGTAATAATGATAATTGTTTTGGATCCCTGATGGGTTGATGAATTTTTAGTTTGGTCGTTTCTGACTACAACGTTATCGATCCTGTTTGGCTGACAAAGCCACCAATGATGGTCATATACTCAAAAGCTTCTGACCAAACTAGGTCCGAAACGACCGAATCAAAATTTTTAACGTTTATAAATTCTGAATTGACAGACTGAACTTAATTTTGTACATTATAGACCTTATCTTCTATTCTTTCTGTTTATTAATTAAATTTTACAGAACATGAAAAGGATGTTGTGCCTTGGATAAATGGTAACGATGTAAAGAGATGTCCCAATTGTGCTGATCTGTTTCATGTTGCCCGTAGGCAACACCACTGTAGAACTTGTGGGAGCGTCATGTGCAGCGATTGCAGCCGGTTTATATCTGTGTTAACAGCGAGTAAGTTCCGTTTATTTTATTTTTTCAGCTTGAAATAAGAGGTGCAGAGCATAGCATCCTTTGAGCAAAACGGACTTGACTCTTTTGACTTTTAGTTGAAGTTTAGCAAACATGAAGTCTCTTGGGTGTTAAAGATAACAATTTTTATTAATCTAATATATTTAGTGGTCTATTGACCAAATTACTTCTTTCAATTAATTAATCTTTTATGTAAGGTTTTTGGCCGCAATGAAAAAGTTAGTTTCACGAGCGGGATTCGAACCCAGGACCTTCAGCTCAATACACCGCTGCTCTAACCACTTGAGCTACGGGCGATCTAACTTATCTAACTTCCGAAGTTGAAGTCGCAATAGCGACAATAGACAATAGCAGCGGTGTATTGAGCCGAAGGTCCTAGGTTCGAATCCCTCTCAGGGCACTAACTTTTTCATTTTGGTCAAAAACCTTACATAAGAGATTAATTTTTATATTGATTTAGCATGAATTTGTGCCAGGCATAGAAAATACTTTATAAAAAAAAGCAACTAAATGTTTATTGAAATCCCACTCTATCTTCTAAAGTTATTAGAATTATGTCATTGGCTTAATTGTAAGTTTTAATAATTTCGTAAACATGGCTCAATTTTATGACCATCATTCAGTTTTTTTTTTTTTTTTTTTAATAGTAAAATTAGTGAATTATAAGATTTCCTCCTGTGGCCTAGGTAATGAATATTTATTTTGGCCTAGTCATTTTGGTCTTTTGCTTGGTACATGCTGGGCTTCAGGAATCCAAAGTTTAAAATCCCTGGATTAGATTATATAAGAGCTGGCTTCTTTATGACCTGAGCACTGTGACCAATATTGTTATTGCACAACTCCATTTTTTTTTATCTTGAGCTCATTGTTAAGCTTAAGGCTTTTTATTAGACACCAAAGCTTTTTCAAGGACTCCTGTGTGTACCCTTCATCCTTCGCACCAACAGAGGAGCTGTTTCTTCTTTTTCTTGGCATTATCTGCCACTCTGAGTATATACATACATCTCCGAAATCTGTAGTGTCCAGTCAGCTTTCCAACTATTATTCTAGTCCTAGCATGTCTTAGATTTAGTAGTTCTGCTGTTAGTTTCTGGTCCTTTGATAAACTTTATTGCACGCCTGTCCTGGGATTCCCACTGATCGGAGTACTTAATATTAATCCATTGTCTAATGGATCTGTGTTTGTGACAGTTTAGTAAACCACAAAAGGGTTCAGAGTCGGTGGTGTCCTCATTGAACTTTCCTTGATCAATTTATCAGCTTCTTCATTGCCCTGGTATCCAGACAAGGGTAATTTTGTTATTTTCTGAATGTCTGACAGTGTTCTAATGCAGCTCCAAACGACTCTGGACTTTTTCGTCGATGTGGCAATTGCCTACTGTATCGCCTGGCTGTCCGAGTAGATGGCTGTTCTTCTACTGACGATCCCCAGCCTTTTTATCTCCCTGGCACAGTGTTCAATAGCCACGGTTTATTTCAGATTGGTGGCATATTGTCCAAGGCTTATATGAATTCTAGTCCTTGGTTTATGCATAACCTGACCCATGTTTGGTTTTGGATCCATCTGTAAACCAGATATGGTCGGCATTAACTAGCATCCCTTTCTCCTAGTCTGCTCTACTATTTTGATTATCCCTAGAGTTCTGTCTAGCTGAAGCTTCCCTCGGAGCTTTAGTTGCTCCTTATTGTGTGAGTAGGCTATTGGAACTTGTCCCTTTGTGGCTCTGGACTCTCCCTGGATGAAGATGTGTAGTGGTGGTAGACTCACAAGGACTTCCAAGGCACAGCTGCGGGGGTTGTCCTCATTGCCCCAGTGATGCTCAGACACGCGTCACTGAGCAGTACTGAGGATCTTGACTGCCCTTAGCTGTAACGTTTTTAAAATCCCTGGAAGAAACTTTAACAATGTCAGATATGCAGCTGATACCACTATACGGCTGAAAGCGAGGAAGAGTTGAGGAGCTTTATGACGAAAGTGAAAGAAAAAAGTGCAAAAGCTGGGTTGCAGATAAACCTCAAAAAAAAAAAAAAAAAAAAAAAATGTGGCAACCAGCTTGACTGGAAAAAATAGAGGGAGAAAAAGTGTAGACACTACAGTCTGTATTTGTAGGTGCAATGATTACAGCAGATGCTGACTGCAGAAAGGAAACCAGACGATTTCTACTTCTTAGGATGAGCAATAGCACATCTTGATAAAATAGTTAAGAACAGAGACATCGCACTGACAGCAAATGTCTACAAAATTAAAGCAGTGGTATTCCTAGTAGTAACCTACGGCTGCCTGCGAGAACTGGACCATAAGGAAGATCGATACTTTTGAAAATTCTGAGAGTGCTTTGGACAGCTAATAGATTAAACCTGTCCATACTCCAAGGAATAAAGCCACAACATTTGAGGGAAAGATATGAAAGGAATAGTTGAAGTACTTTGGCCACATAATGAGAAGGATACTCTGGAGAAGAAGCTGATCCTAGGGAAATTGGAAAGGAAATGGAAGGGACGACCAAGGGCAAGATTGATGATGATGACAGACAGGAAGCTCTGGTACGGGCTGGTCCAGGTCAGAAGCAACTGAACAAATAAACAAAATCCCCGCTTGGTCTGTCAATTTTCATCATTTCACTATCTTCAGAGTTTCTTTGTGAGAAGACTTGACTTGCAATGTGTCGGACAGACCGAAATGACGGATAACAACCGAATTACAAATCAGTGAATGTTTTAAATATTTTAAAAATGTTATTTTCTTTTATAACGTGTGTTTAATTTTTGTAGTAAAACTATTAGAAAAAACTCTTCCTGATGCGCCCTTGGAATCCAACGGGGGAGAACACAGCCACATCAGGTTATGCGTTCATTGCTTAAATGTAAGTCTAAGTCATAATTGAGCTTTTTTTTCTAAATAATGTACACATTTGTTACAGTTACTAGATATTCGCGAGGAGAGGAAAACTTCTAAAAACGTTAATCCGATAATTAGCCAATTTTACAAAAGGTTGTCGGAATACAAAATTGAAGCGGATAATTTTATGGCCGACTATAGGAAAATGTGCGCTTCTTTGAAGTAAGCGATTCAACTTAAAAGCGTTCCAACATAAATAAATAAGCATTGCTGTAATTTTCCAGTTTGGGCGAATCCACCTTTAGTTTAGAAGCAGCGCAGGAATTGAAATTCAGCCTGTTAAAACTCGCGGAAAATATTGAAGCTTTAAGGTTTTCATCAAATTTTTGGGTTTCATTAATAGGCTTGAGAATGTTTATTTTTAATATTAAATTTACAGTTCTAAAATCGCTATATTGGGAAAGGACGCTGAGCATCCTCCTCAAGGCTTAGAGTTAAGATTACAAACAATGATAAGAGATGCCACTACGATGTATCTAAGAAACCATCTATTAAATCTACCAGAGTTACCGACTGAAGATGAATTTCAGAAAATTCAAGAAAAAAGAAGGTACATAATACAAAAAATTAATCAAATAGCATAATTATTCTGAAATACTGCACAGCTGTTTTTTTTCTCTATAGTTGATATATTTATTTTAAAATTTTGTGTAGTTAGGGGTCTATAGTTGATGGCCAAAACTGTTAAGGCGTTGACATCGTGCTTATCACTGTAAGGTAAATCCAGCGGCCCTGCATTCAAACCTATCATACTTTCGAATGGGCTTTTTTTTCAAAAACCCCAGCACCCTGATATTAACTCTGCTGTTTGCAAACCCTCATTAAAAAAATAAGAAAAATAAAAAAAACTTCAAAAAAAATCTACCATTGATGAAGTAGATCATTTAGTGCTTATCACTGATGGGGTAGTTGCCTTTAGTGTCCACTACCAATTAGGTAGATGCCTTTAGCGCCTACCACTGATAAGATAGATGTCTTTTGTGCCTACCACTGATAAGATAGATGCCTTTAGCGCCTACCACCAATGAGGTAGATGCCTTTAGCGCCTACCACCAATGAGGTAGATGCCTTTAGCGCCTACCACCAATGAGGTAGATGCCTTTAGCACCTACCACCAATGAGGTAGATGCCTTTAGCGCTACTACCAATGAGGTAGATGTCTTTTGTGCCTACCACTGATGAGGTAGATGCTTTTAGCACCTACCACGAAGGAGGTAGATGTCTTTTGTTCCTCTGGAATTATGCAATATGTAATTTTAATTTATAGTCTGATCATATTATATTAACATGTTTTAGTACGTTATGAATCAGCTATTAGTGAAATTAAATATATTATGTATCTGTAGGCAAGAGATTACTGCTAAAATACAAGAAGAAAAGACAAAACAACAAATCAGAACTCCGGTCAATCATTCGACGAAATATAACGGTCCATCTCCCCAAAAGGTAGATAATGGCTGCAATATAAATTTTTTTTTAGTATTAATTTCATTGATTTTATTGTTGTTTATGTAGCAGGCTTTAAGTAAAGGCCAAGGTTGGGTGCCAGAAACCAAAAAGAGGAATGAATCTGATGACCCACTTATTGAACAGATGAATATAATTAGAAGTTATATTAAAGAAGCAAAGTAAGTATAATCATTAATTAGTGATCTTTAGCGATTTCGATTAGATTTAAAGTTTTATCTAGGGGAGGGCTTGGTTTTTCTGCCTGAAAATTAATAATGAAATCATGACATGATCCTAGTTCATATTGTATCTCTAGGTTAACAAAACATTATTCTGTACTGTACAAAAATTTGGTAACTTTACAAAATCTTATATATACGAGTTGTTTATTTTTAAAGAACATAATCCTGTTTCTTCTTGGATGTCAGTGGAAAATAATTAACTTTTTGATTCTTATTTTAATTAAATGGATATTTATAACAGGCTTGCCCATAAGAATGACGAAGTCGCTAGTTTGGAAGAAAATTTGCGCGAGTTGAAGAAAGAATATCTTAAAAAGCAACAGCAAGATGAATTCAAGTAATACATACAACATTCTCTCCTTTCTAACAATTATACATTTTTAATTGTTTTATATTATTTTTTAGTTCATCTGTGGACTCATGTGATACTACAAGTGAAACTAGTACTGAGGAAGGTGTTAAGTGAAATTAACGCCAACCACGCTATGATTTGTTAATGATTTTTTTTTCATAACAGATATTACTCATCCATACTAATTTCTTTTGTTACCTTATTAGCAGTAAAAACATATTTTTTATATTTATAAGATATATTCTATATATATTCCTTATGTTTATTTAGATAAATACTCAATTTGTAAATATCTAGGGAAAAAATAAATATTATTTAATTAAGGAATTTTATTAAAACCTGGCTTTTAAAATGATACCTTCAGGAGAAATGTATTATGAATTAATTATTTTAATATAAAATAAATATGTTATACATTTGCGAGAGCTGTCTTCTTATTCTTGCTTTATGCTTCAATGGTCTCACATTTGCCACACTAGTGGTCAGCCCATAGCTTTTTAAATGATAATATTAAAAAAGAAAAAATCATCAAATTTAGTATTTGATCTATGAAATATAACTAATGTAATAATAATAAAAGCCCAGTATAATAATAAAAACCAAGTTACCCATATTTGCTTAGTGGCCATAATTATTCCAATTAATTATTCTTTTTATGTTGAGATAAAAAATTAGTGTCACGAGCAGGAACCACTTGAGCTATCTTGGCTTCAATCCCCTCGGACATCAACTTCTCATCTTAGGTGGTTAGAGCAGTGGTGTATTGAGCCGAAGGTCATGGGTTCGAATCCCGCTCGTGACATTAATTTTTCATCTCAACCAAAAACCTTAGATAAAAAGAATGATTAATTGGAATAAAAACAATATTTTGTTAATACCAACTTTTATTTTATTTTTTATCAAGTTATTCTTAAGCCAGAGGTTGTGGGTTCGAATCCCGCCTGTGACAAATTTTTCATTAAAAAAAAAATTGTGTAAAATTAATTGAGTACAAAATTGGGTTAGTGATGTGACAGTGCAAGGAAAAAGCCATTTGCTCTTCCCGGAAACAGAGGGGTTTACATCCATCCAGTTGGTACCCATGAAGGTGTATTTCAAAAGAATAATAATCGGTGACTCAACTGTGACAAATGAAGCGTGCACGATTTTATCCGGTTTGAGTGTACATATCTGGGAATACCTGGAGAGATATAAAGCAAAGATCACCTAATGCCAGCCAAATGCTTGAGTCTACTACGGGAGGTGGATATTTATCCACCCCCAGGCAGTACTAAAGTATAATGACTATTAGGACCATATAGTCCTCACAGACAGATCTACTGTACATAGCAGACACGATAACAGAAAATATGAAATTTTTATAATAGACAAATACTACCAGATAACCTAAAAAAATGCATAAAATTCGAGTTTTCTTCTGATATTACTGCCCAAAGGAAAGTTAAGCAGTGTAGAGATGGTGCTGTTTATGCTATTATCCCAACAACATTTAAAAGAGGTAGGAATTCACCATGGAATTCCACAAATACAAAGGATAGTGATCCGCAGAATAAGTAGAACCGCCAGGTTCCAAGTTTCACAAAGGAATCGCAATATGGTACATCAACGGATCGAAGATGGAACAAGGATAAATAAGGAATAAAGGGCTGAATCTTACCATAGCAAAGCCCCTTGGACTACTAACGTCAACAATTTTACACGCTACAATGTATTGGCTTTAATAAAGAGAAATATGAAAGGGGCAGACAACCAATAAAATCACTAAAAGCTTATGCTTTCAACTCCAAACTTTGGGAAAAATACAAGATTAACTTGGTTGGTTCTGGGACATGAAAGCACAAAAAGAAATGAACAGGCTGACTAACTAGCCAAAATAAGGGTAACTCTCTGACCCATGGGGCCAGCACCACAACTAGGTGCACCGGAGTGGGTGTTTAAGTTGGAACTGGAAAAATGGCTTAAGGAAGAAAAACAGGCAGTGGACAAAAAGCATCAGGTATGAAGCAAGTCAGATTTATACCCAAAGAGAGTCAGGCAGCTGCAAAGGCATAGAGTGCCTAAAAAAATTTCTCAAAACGAAAGAACTCTCTCTCATCAGGTAGACTTTGAGAAAAATTATAGGCTCTTACCAACAACCTAAAGAAGATGGGGAAAGCAGAGAGGAGCACAGTTTTACATACCCAAATACTGTCAGGTAGCTGTAAAGGCATAGAGTGCCTAAAAATTCTCTCAAAAAGGAAGGCAAAGGAACTCTTTCTCAGCAGGTAGAATTAGAGAAAAATTATAACCTCTTACCAACAACCTAAAAACGATGGGGAAAGCAGAGAGGTGCATAGTTTTACATACCCAAAGACAGTCAGGCAGCTGTAAAGGCATAGAGTGCCTAATAATTCTCTCAAAAATGAAGGTGAAGGAACTCCTCTCTCTCAGCAGGTAGAATTCGAGAAAAATTATAACCTCTTACCAACAATCTAAAGAAGATGGGGAAAGCAGAGAGGTGCACAGTTTTACATACCCAAAGTTAGTCAGGCAGCTGTAAAGGCATAGTGCCTAAACTGTCTCTCAAAAAAGAAGGCGAAGGAATTCCTCTCTTTACCTAACTACTAACAAAAGAAGGTGGGCAAAGCAGAGATCGAAATATGCTGACTCTGTCAGGAGGAACCAGTGACATCGGCCATATACTTTGTGAATATGAAATGCACTGTTTCAGTACAGCCAATTTGGCAAGGCAATTCTTTCACCATAAGAAGTGCATGAAGAGACACCAAGGAAAGTGCTTAATATTATAGGAAATCATGCATTTTCCTAGGCTATAATTTATGGGGGTTCCACATAGGTCGCAGTGGAGGAAAAAAAAGAAAGAAAAAAAAACAATGATCCTTGGAACATGTAGACTGCCAGATTTGCATTGAGAATTCCTGAGTCAGAGCAGTAACTGGATCCGAAATATTTAGACAGAAGGCACGATAGTCTGTTTAGTGTTAGATGATACAGATCTTGGCATTGCTAGTTCTGAACAAAGAAATTTGAAACCATTTATTAAAAACTTAATTATGCCAGATTGTAAACATCATTAACATAGTTTTGCCCTGATGAACTTAACTTAAAACAGGTCGAAATGTTGGCATTTAATTGAATTTTTTAAGACATACCAAGATCCAGATTATTCACAACTTCTAAGTGTGTGACAGTATGAAAGTTGACAGATTGGCTGGAAAAAGCTCTCTTGCTTCAGCCACGAAGTTCAAAATATAAAAAAACTAAAAGCCCAGTCTTCTTTTGATTAAGATATGTATAATAAAATGGTCGACGGGAAACACAAACTTTTCAAATTAGAAGACTTTTTAATATCACTAACATCCAAAATCACACAATAATGTTGAATAATGTTTTTTTATATAAAATCTGATTTCTTAATACTGAAACAAAATAAATTGTTTTGTAAAAGAGTCAACAGAAACATTAATATTTGAATAAAATGTTTTACTTTTTAAAGTATATAAGTGTACATATGCATTTTAAAATAGCTGAAAAGTACATTACTGACAAAACTAGTTCTAAATATGCAGAACTAATTACAGTGTAGTGATTCTTTTACTTCAACAATATAAAACACCCACACTGTAATATAATTAAAAATATTAAATTTCTCTCATTTTATACTTTTATTATTAGGCCAAAGTACTTTCAACCCAATTCGCTATTCTGAATATTATTAGTTTTTTTTTCAACAACTATTTTGGACATTATGTTGAACTTCTTTTCCTCATTCTTTATCAGTCCTAAACTATCGAATCAAATATGACTTCTAGAATTTCTGACTAATATTACATTTCAAATACACCGGAGCTCAGTTCGAAACTATTCATGGATAATTGAGGCCATGTATAGTTATGAATAATACACTTATAAAATTATTTATTTATCTTAGAAGAAAAGGCATCATTGTTTGTCAAATTACACTTATTACTTATTAATAGTGTACATTTCAGACAAAGACAATCTATAATTATATAGATAACAATAATATAACAATTGTAAAGACTCGTGTACCATTATTAAAATTTACTCCCAAAAAATCAATAGTAATATAATACATAGGATACGGAATCCTAGTTTGATAAATAAATAATATGTAATCACATAGTATCTCTAAAAATTAAACTAAAAACTAATATAGAGTAACAAAAAGTATAGTAGCTTACAAGAAGGTGTAAAATTTGCTTAACCTTTCATTTAGCAATATCAGATAAATAATTTATTTCAGTTTTATATATATTGTTTATAACTATTCGTTTTGATTGTTTACAGTATTGCAATAAAACAATCATTATTGCAAGTCATGGTAAAAAAACAAAACTGTTACACCTTTGTAATTAATAATCACAGTAGTAATTATTTTATTTATATTATACATTTATAATAGAAGATAACAAGTAAATTTGAATGCAAGACTTTAAAATGTCAACATTTAACACATCAAATATTTTTATTTTAAAACTCGTGTGCAAAAATTTATGGATAGTGCTATCCAAGAACAATATTATTATTTATTATTAACCATTATGATTACTGGAAGCCTTATGTATTCAAGAGGAAAGTAAAATTATTAACAAATGCAAAGACACACATATAAAAAAAGAATTAAAAATAAAACTTTAAATTTTAAAACTGCTTCACTTGTACAATAATTTTTTTTAATAATTGTTTTTTTAAATATTTTAATTGAAGGAGACTTGTAACCATATTAAACAAACTACAAGATGGTTATGCAACACTGAGAATGTAGTGATATGAAGTGTTGCGTTGTGCATGGAAGGCTAAGGCCACAGCCAAAAGTGAGCAATTGTCCAACCCCTTTTCATGTCGAAAGTCTGAACATTCCTTCCCTTTCGTATATTTAATCATCGATTGGAATAGTTTTTTCTATCTTTATTTTCTGCGTATTCTCTTGGGGGGTGTCTTTTTGCCGTTTTTTTGTTTTCTTCGTTTTATAAGAGATGGGTTCCTGAGATGGGGATGAGCATCGCTTGCACACAACTCTATCCTTCCATATGGGATCGGGTTCGTTAAAAATAAAATTGACACAATTTTCCTGGACCTTCACTTCCGTTTGAATCCCGAATAATCAAATCACACAGTGACGGTTGTAACTAGTGCTTCCCAAATTCTGTCCAGGCGTCTATTTGAGTCTACTTAAAAAAAAAAAAACTAATCTTCTCAAAGAACTTGTTTACAAATCTATTTAAAAAATTGAACTTTTTTTCAATAATAACATTTTGTCATAAAATATTATTTTAACTTTGAAGTTAATAATTATATACAATTTATTTTTTTAAATATTAATGTCTACCTTATGTTATTCAAATTTAAATAAAAAATATATTATCATATAAAATAATAAATCAGACTGATGAAACATGAACGAGGAAGACTCAAATCCCCTGGGTAAGAGAGGAATTATTATATGTATATTATAAGCCACCTCCTTCAAACTAGATAAAAATCTACATCATTCTAAAAACTACAAATTGTTTATAAAATAATAATAAATAGTAATCACAGGAACAGCTTCCCTACAATTTTCAATTGTATTTTTTTTTACAACACACTAATACACTACTATATTATTTTTACATTCAATCTGTAATCAGCAGAATGTTCGTTGTTGTACTATTAAAAGTAGACTCAAATAAGATCACCTGGTAAAAAATGGGAATTAAAGTAAAAGATTTTTCACCAAAGTGAGACTGACGTTTTTAAATATTTTTAGCGCTGGTGCTGTGACAAGCCTTTTTTTTATATATATTTTTTTTTTTAAATAGAATCTATGCTGATTTCATCAAATATGCATTCTTTCATATATCGATACTTAAACTTTTTCTGAAACAATGTAACTTACATAGAAAGTAAATTAGAAATAACTTAATTTGTACATTGCATAATTGAATCTGCATCGTTGGTTAGCTCACTGGGCTTGTGTTTCGCACTGTAAAAGCCTAACTATAGATGGATCGCTTTTCGCCCCTTCGATAAATTCCTCTAGAGACAGTTTCCCGTCTTGGTTTTTATCCATTTGGCGGAAGATTTTATCCGTTCTCTTCTCTGGGGTCGACTCATCTTCTGGCATCTTCATGACTGATCCTACCATTTTGTAGATTGCCTAAAACATAATCTATTATCAGGAAAAATCATTTTAAAACTAGATACAAATTAAAATCAAGCAGGTTCATATATCAATGATTATTACTAGGGACCAGATTTATAGTTAAAAAAAAAAAAATATGTGTAATAAAAAAACATTTGGTTATGCATTGTTTAAAAGAATTTTATTATTTACACATATTTGTTGAATAATGTGTAAAAAGGAAAATATAACGAGTTAATAAAATAAAAAATAAACCTTTAATATTCAAAAGTGTTTAAAATAATGTACATTTTTCAATTTTTGTAAATAAAAATGTATATTTATAGTCCTAAAAATTCTATAAAATAAAAACGCATTTTTTAAATGGTTAAATTATATTAAAAGGGTGAGAAATAAAAAATGACATCTCATTTTCTTGGAAATTGTAATCCCTTATAGGCTTTATTTTTTTTTTCCAAATCCAATTGGCAATTTGAAGAAGAGGACGCTCTCTCTGAATGGTTCTAGAAATTTGAAGCCAGTGACGTCAGCCTCGGGAGGAAAGAGGGTTCTGGATGAAAATCATCATTCGATTAGGAAACTCTAATCCATTGTAACCGCCCTAATGAAAAGAACTCGGGAAACTGCAAGAGAATGGAATTTCCCAATTTACCATAAATCATAGAGTGCATAACTTGGGGGAAATGAATCGCTCATTAATAGATGAGTCGATCATTGAGCAGGCACGATGCCGAGTTGAAATTTGTCAACATCTTTTGAAAAACCCAAACGACCTTAGGTTCATCAAAGGAATAGTTACTTGCGATGAAAAATATTGGAGCAAGACCGAGAAACAATAGCTAGACTGCAATCAGCCAGCTCTGCCAGTTGCTAAACAAGGGCAATTCGGCGAAAGACGACGCTTTCTGTATTTTGTAATTACGAAGGCATAATTCATTATGAGTTCATTCTATAAAATCAAACAATTGCTTCAAAACTTTATTGTGAACAGTTACAAAAATGTGTGATGTTTTGACCAGCATTACTCAGAATTAGTAAATAGAAATCGGGTTTTGTTTCAACAAGATAATGCCCGATCACACTTCTTTACACAGGGGGAGGGGAAAAAATGGGATGGAATCGAGCTTCTCCTCACCCTGCTTACAGTCCAGACCTTCTGACTAGCATTTGATCTGGTCCATAGCTCATCATCTTCAAGGGAACACTTTTAGTTCTCTGGCATAATGAAGTTGCAAACTTCTGTTCAAAACCCAAAGAGTGGTATTGTGAAGGATTCCAACACTTGGCCTCGAGATAACAACAAACCATAGAACACAATGGTATATACTTTGAATATTAAAAAATTATGACTCACTTTTATATATTTGGAAAATGTAAAAAGTGGTAAAATAAAAATTTCTTTTGTCCTAAAAAATCTATAAAATAAAAAACGCTTATTTTAAAATGGTTAAATTACAAGTGGAATTATATTATATGGGGCATCAGTAACCACAACGGTTTTTAGTGTTGACAGGGCGCTTATAATTGTAAAATAAAGTGGACCTGCATTTGAACATGACATAGTTACAGTTAATTTTTTTTTCCAAAACACCGGCACCCCGAGGGTTCTATTAATAGTTCATCTAAGGGTATAGTTGAAATACCCTTGTAAAAAAAGTTATTTTTATGACAACTTTATATATTTGTAAAATGTGAAAATGTGAAAAAGTGATAAAATAAAACTTTTAAACTCAACTTTAAGACTAAATAAAAGAAAAAATCGGGAAAAAACGGCGCTGCACTACGTTAAACCTGCACGACCGATCCGTCACGACGGTTTTAATCTATTCAAGCGCCTTGCTAACTGAAAATGTGTTGAAATTCAATTAATTAAGGTTTTTAAGTTGAGATAAAAAATATCAGTGTCACGAGCGGGATTCGAACCCACGACCTTCGGCTAGATACGTCGCTACTCTGCCACTTGAGCTACCCTGACTTCGATCCTCTCGGACACTAACTTCCCACCTCAACCCCTCCTTTTGAATTTTCCCTCCTTTTTGCCATTTTTCAAGCGGACCACAAAAAATAGTGAATTTAATGAATTAAAATGAAGTATATTTCACTAAAGCTCTCCGTGGCCATTTCAATTGTAGCCGAGAATCAAATAGATTACACGACATTTGAAAAATGGCAAAAAGGAGGGAAAATTCGAAAGGTGGGGTTGAGATGGGAAGTCGGTGCCCGAGGGGATCGAAGTCACGATAGTTGAAGTGGTAGAGTAGCGGTTATCAAGCCGAAGGTCGTGGGTTCGAATCCCGCTCGTGCCATTGACTTTTTTATCTCAACTAAAAACCTTAATTATTTGTAACATATTAATTGGTCAAGCGGACCACGAAAACTAGTGAATTTAATAAATTAAAATGAAGTATATCTTCACTAAAGCTCTCCGTGGCCATTTCATTTGTCGCCGAGAATCAAATAGATACACTACATTTGAAAAATGGCAAAAAAAGCGAAAATTCAAAAGGTCGGGTTGAGATGGGAAGTCGAAGCCGAAGGTCGTGGGTTCGAATCCCGCTCGTGACACTGACTTTTTTTATCTCAACTTAAAAACCTTAATTAATTGAATGATATTAATTGGCCAAGCGGGCCACAAAAATAGTAAATGGGTTGAAAGTTTCTACCGGACCAAATATCAAAGCAATACTTAATGGAATAAGGAGAGATCAAATGTAGGCGAATTGTGATCTAGTTATGCTAAAAAAATTAATTAATTAATTTAAAAAATGAAATAGGAAGCACGACTCTTGAACGTTAAACCTGCACGACTGATCTGTCACGAAGGCAAATTTGCCTAGGGCATAGCTTTAGTATAACGTTCTACTTGCCGAACTTCACCATTTTCATCGACTAGGGTAGAAATGGGATGGTAAATAAACAAATTGCCATTGGGGAAGAGAAGCCAAAATGCTACAGACAACATATTTTTTGTTTACGAGGATTTTGTCCTACAAGTATTCCAAAAGTTAAAACCTCGTTGTTTTCTATTAACGAATTTTTCATGTAAATTAATTAATAATTTACAGACTAATAGACTTTTAATTAAGAATTGATAAAAATATTCTATTTATCAAATATTTAAGGCCTTTTAACAAGGCATGGTAAAAAAAGGAAAATGTTTTAAACATGGGTATTATTGTAAATATATAACAAATATATAAAATAAAAATCAATGCACGTTTAAATCTTTTATAAATTTTTTTTTAAATATAACATAAAATAATGTGATTAATAATGAACGGGGTATATTTAACAAATTAATGAAGGTAAAAGTCTCATAAAAATCAATGGCGGAGTGATCCGAGACAGTACGGAATTCAGGTGGGAGAGCCGTTTATGACATTCCAACCGCACGATATACACTTCAGAGAAAGAATTAGGAAACTTTTTAAAGATTTTTGAAATTTACGGAGATTTTCAATAAAAAATATTCCAGTAAACGAAAGGTTTCCAAGAAAAATTAATCACATGAGAAAATATTTTACTGTTGTGTTTTCTTGTATTGTTTATTATTATTGTATAATAATGTATTTTTAATGAGAAATAACCTGCTTATTGATATCATAGAAACGCTGGTGTATAGAATAAATAAAATGAAATACTCGGGGAAAACACGGCGCTCGACTACGCTAAACCTGCACGACCGATCCGTCACGACGGTTTTAATCTATTCAAGCGCCTTGTTAACTGAAAATTTGTCGAAAGTTTCTTTCTTCCCGACGTACCAAATTTCGCAATTAAGACAAAATGGAATCAGGAGAGATCAAATGTAGGAGAGTTCTAAAGTAATTATGAAATTTATACGAAACCAGCAGCATTCGGCTCGAGGAAAGGGCTCAGCGCTGTGTACAATAAAGTTCATCCTTGATAACTAATTAATTATGTTCAATATATTTGGTTGGATTGGATACAATATATTCGGTGGATCCAATGTACATTGGACCATATCCCCGATCCCAGCAAATATATGGTGAATATGTGATGGTTATCATTAATTAATTAAATTCACTAATTTTGTGGTCCGCTTGACCAATTAATTAATTACAATTAATTAAGGTTTTTAGTTGAGATGAAAAAAAGTTAATGGTACGAGCGGGATTCGAACCCACGATCTTCAGCTAGATACGCTGCTGCTTTACCACTTGAGCTATCGTGACCTCGATCCACTCGGACATCAACTTTTTTTCATCTCAACTAAAAACCTTAATCAATTGTAATTAATTAATTATTTGTTTAAAATTGTCTCATGTGTTTTTGAAGACATTGAACCTATTTGATGTACCTATGACTTCAACTTTTTCCTTTTGCCATCAGCTGATTTTCCATCTCCGTACAGGTAGTAAAACGATAACAGCCTCATTTTACGTACCTATTTTGGTTAATCCCGTGTGTCGGCTCAAATTGATACCACCACTTGCTGGGCGCTTTCTCACAATTCAACTTTGGTTGATCAACTAGTTGAACGAAACTGGCCGTGAGAGCCTTCCGGTCAAAAAATGGATAGAAAATTTTCAAGTTGAAACATGATTAAAACGTGTGACCATCTCAGTTGACTGTTCTGTGCTCAGCTTTTAAAACTGAGCATGTTGCATTGCTTTGTTTTTATTGATAAAATATTAAAAACAGAAAAATAATGCTTTGAACAATCGAACGATTAAAATGGCATCCTCATATTGAAAAAGTCCAAGAAAATTAAGTTTAAGAAACATTTTGAAAAGAGAAGAAATAAATAATAAGATAAATGCAATACTTTAATCAAATTCGATGAAGCAAATGCTTTGTTTTTATTGTTAAAATATTAAAAACAGAAAAATGATGCTTTGAAAAATCGAACGATTAAAATGGCATCCTCATATTGAAAAAGTCCAGGAAAATTAAGTTTAAGAAACATTTTGAAAAGAGGAGAAATAAATAATAAGATAAATGCAATACTTTAATCAAATTCGATGAAGCAAATGCTTACTTTAGTCATTTTTTTTTTATGGAGTTTGGTCTGTGAGTTGGTGAACTCATGTTGAACTGGCACACGGGCACTACTGGGGTTTTTTTGTTTGAGTTATTCAAACGCGTTTCGGCATAACTCAAACAAAAAAAACCCATGAGTGAAGACAGACCCAGTAGTGCCTGTGTGCCGGTTCAACATGATTTTTATTTGGTTATTTCGACCCATTTCTTGAAGTGTGATGCGGTGAAGGGTTTTTTTTTTTATGGAAGATTGGATTATTTTATAAATTTCTTCATCAGTAAGATCTGACATTCCTAAAACACCTATTTTATGAATAAGAAAAGATCAAATATAAACCAGGAAGGAATCAGAAAATATTTATTGGCCACCATGGAATTTGCAAATTATATTTTTATTTTATTACCACCTACAACTTTTATATTTGTTATTAATTATTTATTAGTATATGCCAAGTGGTAAATGTATTTTCCAATCATCATGGGGTAAGATTATGAAGTCTTTTTTACTTTCAATCCGCTCACATTGGACTCTGAACGATAACTGTTGATAAAGTTAAAGATATAAATGATTTTTCTCACCGTAACTATTTCAAGCATTTCTTGTCGAGAGATGAAACCATTTCCATCAAGATCGTACATACTAAAGGCCCATTTCAACTTCTGTTCCAGTTTCCCTCTCGAAGTTACAGACAGGGCGCAGAGGAATTCCCGGAAGTCTATCGTACCGTCGGCGTTGGCGTCAAACGTACGAAAGACGTGTTCGGCGAACTTGAAATAATTTTACAGACGTGAATACAGTAAAATTGCATTGAGTAGCGTGTAAAAAGAGAAATGTAAAGCCACCTTTGATGCGTCCCCGTAAGGAAAGAAATTCCCGTATATTTTTTTGAATTCGTCGACGCTAAGATGTCCGCTAGGGCAGTCTTTCAAGAAGCCTTTGTACCATTCTTGTATCTCAGCGTCTGAAACGGATTAATTAACGATTAACACTAGTTTTAAGATTTTTTTTTTGGGGGGGGGGAAACATACCCGTGAATTCTGTGTTTTGTCTCAGGTCTTCTAACACTTCAGGTTTTAATTTACTGTTCTGCTTACCCATTGCAGCTTAGGTCTCAAAATTATTTTTACCTACTTACACTGAGATTATCTGAAATACAGAAATTATTAGAAATAAAAGAAATGACGAATAAATGATCAACTATGTAAATTGTAAGTTTTAACAGATAAATTGAAATATTAACCTTGTTTTTTTCTGCCAAGATAAAAAGTATTTTTTTTTCGAAAATAAAATTATATGGAATAAAATAAATAAAAAGCAATAATGTTATAAAATGCAAGTTAGTCAACGGTATGTGTTTTTATTTAGTATAGTCAAATACATATATCTGATAGCTATACTAAATAAATTCATACAACCTCAACATAAAATTAAATAAATTATAGTGGCTGATGGAGGAAATATCAATGTCTCATACATTTAAACATTCAAATCTTATTACGAGATTGCCATTGTTATACATTACAGTATACACATAACTTAAAATAAAAAGTATAGCACTTAACAAAACAATACACTTAAATTATAAATAACATATTTCTTAAGACTAAATTAAAATAGTTATGTATAGTATAAATTTACAATTTGTGCAGATAGAGAGACAGAGAAGTAGAAAAATATAAAATTGTGCCTTAACATCCCGTTAACCCACAGTAAGAGAAAATTGTCAATATTTTTTTTTTTAAAGTTTAATTTTTTTAGGGCTTTCTTATTGAGAGAAGAGAAAGCAGTTGTCTCATTTATTTTGACCCCATTAAAAGAAAGATTTCCAACCCCGAGTGATTCGATAGAAGCAACAATGAAATATATTTATTCTAAGAGCAAAGAGTGCAGATAACGCTTAAATATTTCCAATATGAAAAATTGTTAGACAATTTTAATTTATATAATTTCAATGGAGCTATAGTAATACTTTCGCTAATCATGGGGATTTAAACATCATTTTTGAAATATCATAAAATTCAAAAGCCCTTCCTTGAAATATACATCAAGGAAAAGGCAAATTTTTGAATTAATTAAAACAATCGATATTATATATAAACCCAGGTATTAAAAGCACTAATATTTCACCACTACAATGTTTCGTAATTAGTCGTAAATAAAATGACATTGAAACTGTCATTTGGAATGAACTAACATCCCCATGCTATGGGAGTACGAGTATGTTATAACCATAGAATAAAAATGCATTTTTTTTTAGAATTTCACATAATTTTTTTGTAGCTTGTTTTAATTTTATTACGTTTTTATTAATTTCAAAGGTGCCAAATTTAGTAAATAAAGGAATTAAACATTTCTATTTCCATCCTGTTATTCTTCAATTGCCAAAATTTATTTGTGTCCAGCACAAATGTCGTTTCAACATGTAAAAAGTAGGCAATTAATTGTTTTATGATGCCCGAAACCAGTATTAGAGATCCGTTAATATGTACATACACTGATTATTTAATAATTTGACATAAAAATTGGTAAAAATATTGAGCTGTACATTATGCGATGGGGTACACATTTGTCAAGTAAGTATAAAATATTCCTATTAGCTATAATTGTAAGGTAGAGATGTGCAACGTGAATAAAACAGCTAATGACAATTAAATTTTGAAATGCACATGTATATACAATTAACTGTAATCAGTTTCATTACGGCTTGAAACAACGTGTGGGTGCTATGATGAAATTTCAGTAAACGATACACTTTTTATTTACAAACACTGAAAATGAATACATACTGTATATACAGTGCATTTTAATTAACCCACTCCTTCTTGGTCCGATCTATTTGACAAATTCTCTCCAAATATTTTTCTAATTAAATTTATATACAGTTCAAAATCAATTGAACATACAATTACATCTCAATTACACAATGTAATATACAAAGTAATGGTGTGACAATAGTACATGTGTTATACATTTGTGCCCTCGAAGGGTCTTCGATCGACAATATACAGAGTATAATCCAAGGTAGACATCCTTGACGGTATCATCAATCGAGGGATGAAGGAAGTTGGTCTGAAATGAAGAATTGAATGTCTTTGGTCGAATGGGAGCCTCAAGCGTCAAGAGGTCACTCTGCGGGTAAACAAGTGCAGGTAGAAGTATAGATGTAGAGAGAAAGAGCAAAGGATAAGAGAGAAGACAGTGTTAGAGAGATCTCTAGAGGGAGGGGGGGTAAAGCAAATTAGCTGGTATCACATTAGCTGGACTAAGGAGCAAGCATTTTTGATAACTCCTCGTCCTGTAGGCAGCCTTTAAGGAACTCATCCTGAGTAAGCTGTCCGTCGTTATTTTCATCCATTTTAGCAAATATATTCTTAGCGCGTTCTTCCGCAGAATCGGCAGGCCGGTTTGATGAACAAGCACCCAGCATGTCGTAAATCGCCTGGAAAATAAATACAGTATTTTTTCAACTATGTTAATTTTGTAAAAATGGGTAAAACGACTATGAAAAGAACCGAATAATTAATCTTAGTTTAAAATTTAAAATGATCTGTTAAAAGTTATTGTGCCCTATAAATTTTAATCAAAGCTTTCACAAAACAACCTTGAAATTTTAATAAAAGAGCGTTTCATTTTTTATTAATATCTTTCTTCTGCAACAGTACAAAAGTAATCAGAATTTATAGGACATGGAAAAGAAAAGAAATTAACCCACATAACAATCAATTTATAAATAAAGCAAAAGCTAATAAAACACCCAAAACTGCAATAGAACATATACTCAAACCATTACCATCAGGAACTGAGAATTCATCTCAAAGTAGAAAGAAAGCATCTAGCAAGTTCGTCATACCAAAATCTTTGACAAAATAACAACCAAGGCTAAAACTCTTTCTGACTTATCAGACAAAACACTGGACTTTGAAAAACCTGTCAAAATAATTATTTAAAATAAATCTGACTGGAAAAAAAAAGGTATATGGAAAAAAAATGGTATATGGACGGTTCAAAGATGAGAAATCGAGCATGGGTATAAAATGGCTTAACTTTGAGCACCACATGGCCCTCAGCTCCAACTAAAACCATTTTTCAGGCTGAACTACTAGCCATAGAAACCTGTGCATATGAAATAAATAAAAAAAAAAAAAAAAAAAAATCTTAAAGCAGCAATAATTAATCTTTCAGATAAACAGTTCTAAAGGCTTTCCAAGCCTACGAGATTACCTCAAAACGTCTTTGGAACTGCCTCAATACCTTAAAAAAAGTATGGTGATTAGTGACCGTTAATCGATAATTACTCAGAAATTGTGAGATGCTCTATGAACAAATTTCAACTACATATGGACACGCAGCTAAAAGTATTCTGAAGGACATCACCAACAATGAGAAGAAACTCGCATCAGCTATCAACCAGAGAACTTTTTTGCTGAAATGAAGACAACACAAGGCCCTGAAGATGATCTCAATAAAGATCGAAATGTTGGCACGATAAAGAAAATGTTTTTCTGAAGCCTACATCACACCTGACCGCATCTCATGATTTCTGAATAATTACCTTAAAAAAACTTGAATTTTCAAATAGCCTAATGTTGGCTCCAGACATGTGGGATTCCATGCCGAGCAACAATATTCGGTGCTCGGCTGGTTAGGGATGGTTAGGGTTAAATGGGGTTAAATGCCTGGGTAGACTCGTACCCCATCCCTAAAAGGTCCGGGACTTGGTTGGCTCACGTGTCCTGCATAAACCTCTTGGACCTGTTCACAAACCCAAGATTTTGGACCATTTTATCTTGGGGAGTGATTTGGTGATGTCCTCTCCTTCAAAGATTTCAAATCTAGACCTAGCATACCTATCACACTCTGTGAGGTAGTGCCTTGCCATTTCTTCTTTTATTTTGCAAAAATGGCAAAAGGGATATGGTAGAATACCCATTACGGAGAGGTGTCTTCACAGTGGGCAGTGGCCCATCAGGCTACCTACCTATCAGCCTCCTAATTCCCATCCTTGAGTTAGAAAATAACCATTTTGATTCTGCTGGTTTGATCACCTTAACTAACTCTTTCGATTGCCTGTGTCCAGGGGACATATTCCATTCTTTAAGGAATTGTTTCATACCCCAGTTTTTAATACTCTCTTTCGCTGTGCTCATAGAGTGAGGTAATACCGGTTGTGGCCCGACAAATGCAGTATTAGAACCTTCTTTGGCCATGCTATCCGCCTCTTCATTGCCATGGTGTCCTTTATGTGCTCGTATCCAAATAAGAGTTACCTTGTTCTCAAACCTGGAAGAAATCCTATTGATAAGATCTACAGTTTCCTCCACCAGTCTAGATGTTGATAAATCTTTTTGTAATGACCTAAGACTAGCCTGACTATCATAAAAAATTATTACTAATATCCTTGCCCTTAATTTTTCATAAGTGTTCCACAACACACATTAATGGCCCAGATTTCCGCCTGAAAAACGGAGGTGTTATTGCCAAAAGGGGAGGATATGCTGATACCTAATTTAGGTATATAGATTCCTGCACTGCTCCCTTTACCTTTGATAAGTGAACCATCTGGATAGCAGTCTATGTTATGATGGTCATCATCCACACTATAATTATATTCACAAGGAGTGACTACCTGAAAGTACTTTTTCCCTTTTTATCACTAACGCTTAATAATTGGCCGTTAACCTCACTCAATAGTTGTAGGATTTTCGAGTGACCTATGTTATTGCACTTATGATTCCAGCTGCCTTCGCTAAATAATCTGTAGGCAGCTGATTAGTGCTCTGACCTTAGCCTCTATGTGTAGAGGTGTGGTATTGGTTATGATTTCAAGTGCTAGGGTGGGTGTAGTTGAAACTGCTCCTGTCATCATCAAACAGCCTAATCTTTGAAATGGCCTTAATTTGTTACTATTCCCTTTATTTTCTAGACCTTTCCACCGTACTAAAGCTGCGAACAATAATCTAGGTAGAATAATTGCAGTATATAGCCATGGTTTGAGACCTCATGTTTTACCGACAATTGCACCATAGATGTGCCTTTCCTGTATATGTTATTATTATGACCTTTCCAATCAAGTTTCTTGTCAAGCGTCACACCAAGGAATTTGATTGAATCCACTAATTTTAATTCTATGCCCTGAAATTTAGGTTTTTAAAATTACCTAATGTTCTTCTCCTACTAAACATTATCAATTCCAGTTTAGTTGGATTAATTGATAAACCTTTATCACAACACCATTCAAATAGCAATCCCATGGCATCTTCCATCAGTAGTGAAAGAGTCAGGGGAACCCTACCTGTGAGCATTACCATCATCTGAAAATAATTGACTGTAGAAACCTGAATTATTCAGAAGTTCTATTAAACTGTTTACCGTAATTAACCATAAAAGAGGTGACAACCATTAATCAACATTGCTATTTATTTTTCAATAATAAACGATTCCTAACTAATACAGATGTATTAATGAAAGAACATCTGACAAGATAATCCAACAGAAATTGTTTATGTCGGTTTTTTTTTGCCTTATGATCTTTGCATATTAGCCATGACGAATTCTTATATATGTTGTTCAAATTGGGGGTTATTGGGAAAAAAGGGCCAGAGGCGACGGTGGGAATCCAACCCACGACCGTGGCGTGAGAGTCTCTCATGCTAACCACTCAGCTACCGCGGTCCCCAATTTTTTTGTCTCAAATCTTGACAATGTTTTTGTCGGTTAGGAATGGATTGGCCCAACATAACTGTCTTGGAGTTCCTCGATCTGTACCAAACTGAACCAATAATTTTGAACGGTTCTCTTCCGAATCACAAAAATCAGAATGAGATTTTTGATCGAAAGTAAGATGGGCAACAGTACTCTGTGACTGATTTGTGACTAATCACTACAAAAAACAGTAACTGCATTGCAGCAATGACAGTTTCACTATTATCCATCACAATTGGTAGTACATTGAGGATTTGCACGGCACTTGGCAAATACCTATTCCAGTATAGCATATACTTATATACTTTCCAGCAGATAGCAACATAAAAATAGCCCAATATGCCGATGACAAAGCAGTGCTGTCCCAAAGTATCACGCTCAGTGATGCAGAAACGAAGATGCAGAATTACTGCCAAAAAATTGATGATTGGGCATCCAAGTGGAAAGTTAAGCTGAATTCGACTAAGTCCAAACTCATTAACTTCACTTATACGAGACCTCAAGGCCCTCACATATAGTACTCGGTGGAACTAATGTACCTCAAGTGGACTCATATCAATACTTAGGGCTGCACTTGGACTCGCATCTCACCTGGAATAACCACATATCCTCATATGTAACGAGAATTTGTTTGCGTATTCGCAATATCAAACCAATTCTCTCTAGCAATTCTGTCCAAATTCAACTTAAGCGACTCCTTTATCTAAGCCTAATAAAACCAATTTGGTTTTATGGCTCGCCCATTTGGTGTTCTGCATCTCCTCGCAAATAAAAAGGATACAAACACTGCAGAACCGTGTATTACGGTTAATAACAAACGCGCCCTGGTTCGTAAGGAATGAACAGCTCCACCATGAAATATCGTTGACATCGGTAGAAGACGAACTAAAGAAGAGATACCCGATGCTGCTTGCCAAAGCTGACTCCCACCCGAATCCGGCAATTGCACAAATTCCAGCGAATATGCATCCACCCCGCCAACAAAGACGGCTAAAAAGAAAGCATCATACGGACTACAGATTGTAAATATGTGTTAATGTAAATAAGTGCTAGTGTAAACGTGCGCCTGACATATATGATTATAGATAAAAACAAAAAATTAGGTTAATTTATTTACTAATGAGATATTTATTTATCTCAAATTATTATACTCCAGTGAATTATTGTGTTGACTGCCATAGGGCCGGACCCACCCTCAAATGCCATGTTAATCACACTTTTTGAGTGTGTGTGTTGTATATCAGTATTTATTAGCAAAACATAATGTGTATGTACACAAGAGTTAAATAAAATAATAAAAAAAAAAAAAACGTATTCGCTGTTTTCACACAAACTGGCTGCTTGTTTGAACCCCGCACACTGTTTGATGAATGTCAAGATGAGCATCTCAAAACTTGGCGAATATTCGGCAGCAATCGGCATTCGGCGGATACCGCATGTCTGGAGCCATCTTAACGCTAAAGACCCAGGTCATGAGGGGATTAAAGCTAACAGGGCAGATATGTTTGCTAAAAAAAAGGAGCCTAGGAACAATCCATAGGCTTAAATCCATATTGTTTAACTACATTAAAAGAGAACTGGAAACTTTGGTTACTAAAAAACACGATAAATACTAGGAGCACGTGAGGCAAGAAAAACACTACTCATAAAAACAACCCAATGAGAGAAAGAGGAAATCCTACACAACAGGAAGGAATTAAAAACTCTTGCATATTTACAGTTAACACCATAAAAAAAATGGGACAGATGATCAATATTGATTATGTCTAGAAAAGACAGAAATGAAAATATTCCATGAAACTGCTAGGAAAAGGCTATGATATTTGGGAAAACCATTATTGAACCATGCACATCTTGTTACCATACACCTGAGAACAATACTTTATAAAAGAAAGTAATATTTTCCAAACAATCCATTAGCAGAGATCAGCGCAACAGATGAAACGGAACAAATCCTTATGACTCCCTATGAAAGAAAAAATAAAGCAAAAACACAAACATGCTTCAAAAGTTTCATGATGCAGGCAGCAGTTTCTTATCCGAAATGGTACCCTACGTTATGAACAATCGTGACAATTAAATATTAAATAGTAGTAGATTTGAGTTGCATTATTTATGAACAATGTATTGTCTTGTACCGGAGCTTGTATGACATTTGAATTCATAATTCCTACATTGAAAGGAAAATCATTATTCAAGCATATTAAATGCAAGCAGTAATTAGCAAGAAATTATGTAAGAATATTTCAAAAAGAAACATTTGTATTTTTCAATTTTATATTAATAAACATTTAGAAAACAATGAATGAGACTGAAATAAACGAGTTTTGATATTTCTTGATTTTTTTCCGCAGAATTGGCAAATATGGTCTGATTTTTATCAAATTCTCTTTATACGTTGTGTTAATTATCAAATGTTGAGAAAAATTGTATACGTCGGCTGAAAGTATTAACTCAATAATTTAAGAAAAAAGAGGAAGCAGGGGATCGAGGCCGAGAGAAATTGATTGCTGGCAATAATTAGGTTAGTACTGTCAACATCCATTTGTAGTGAAACGCTTGCTCCCTTGCCAATTACACGCCCTCAGAGAATTGGGAAGATTGGATAAGATATAAGAGTCATAAGAAGTCAAGAGAGCCATGTGAAAGCAGTCAAATAAATTAATAGATCTTTATTACTTCCGCTAGGAGGGAATTCGAAACAAAAGCTCCTTTTACCCTTTGATACCCAGTCTTAAATTAAATAAAATGACACATTGTAATTACGGCAAAATAATACATGGACATTTAATACCTGAACAATCTTCGTCATTTCCTGAATATCAATAACACCGTTTCCATCGACGTCGTACATTCTGAATGCCCATTTCAGTTTTTCTTCAGGCGTACCAGACGATGTGACGTCTATCGCCAAAAGGAACTCCTGTAACATAAAATAATAAATTGATTAGATTACTCATTTTCAATTACCACATAATGCAGAGCATTGGCTAAATAATAATTTCTGCTGGTGGACAAGGATGGAATAAATAAAGTGTAGTAAGAAGTAAGAGAAGTAGGGTGTGTAATATACTCCGTCATTTGAGAGATATTTTGTATTCTGTTCTGTTCCCATGAGTCCTAGTTCATCAAGAAACTTGATTTACTAGGCCTGGTGATTCAGTGGTTGAATTTCTTCTACGGTTGTACATCCGAAACACTTCCTCCTCTGGGAAAATGTAGTGCCACAGTGTGTTGGTGTCTCCTCTGCTTTTTTGCAGAACCTGCACAATCTTCTTCACATGCTCATTCAGTCTGCATTGTCCTGTCAAGGATTCTGTCAGGATTCAAAGTTTGTCCTGCTTCCTTTGATGTATTATGTTGTTCCTTTCCTTACAAAATTTGCTCGAAGTTCTTGGATTGTTTACGTCTAATAAGCAAATTCCACTGTTTCCTCATTTTAATTTAATCTTTTTGTCTGTGATACCCATTGACGGTGAGAATCCAGGGCCAATCAGCAGTATAGGAGCCCCTTTCTTTGAAGGATGTCTGCTCCCTTGTTGCCCTCTACATGCCCTGGGACTCAGAACTGAATTACATTATTTTGCATATCTATTCTGCTTAGCTTAGTCTTAAAAATTCAGCACCATCTTTGAACTAATAATATTTGAACTTAGCGCTTTGATGGCCGCTTGGCTATCTGATAAGATTACACTCTTTTTTTTATCCTTTGTTCAGATGGATCTCTCAATTGTGTGGATTTCAGCATAGATGCTGGTGCATTTTTCCAAAGGTTCTGAGTATTTTATTCCAGGACTGACTCCTGAATACATTCCTGAATTTTAGATCCATCCATGTTCTAGCAGATGGTGTCGTTCTCAACATAGGTTTTTTTCCCATCTTCCGATTCTTTTTTTCTTTTGGGATCTTAGATTTATTTGGAAATTTTGCTTGAACTCAAACAGCCTGTTTTGTTGTCTCTTGTAAAAATAGTTTTACAATGCAGTCAAATAGTCCTTCATTTTTCTTTTCTTTTCAAAAAATTAAGTGGAGAGACAAATAAAAAGAAAGAATGATTACAAAAATTAGGCCATTTTGTTGTCCATGGGGTTTTGACCTGCAACTTTACCCTTTTGGGGCTTATATTAACAAACATTTCTAAATTCTCTCTCTCTCTCTCTCTCTTCCTCTTTCTCCCCCTCACATAGTTAAGTTTTCCAAGAGAACTTTCGGCTTCTTGGGTTTATCTTGACAAACAATGTGATGATTACCCAATGTAAATGATGATGAAAATCAAATAGTAAATTATTTTAATTTTATTTTCAATAAATTAAGTGGAATGACAAATAAAAAGAAAGAATGACTAAAAAAAATATTTATATAAATTCGGCCATTTTTTTTGTCCAGGGGGTCTTGACCTGCAACCCTTTTGGAGCTTATACTAACTTTTTTGAATTCTCTTTTTTTTCTTTTTTAAACAAATTGTACCTTTTGCCCTCGTAGTTAATTTTTCCAAGAGAGATCCAACTTTAGGCTTCTTGGGTTTATCTTGACAAACAACGCGATGATTACCCAATGTAAATGATGATGAAAGTCAAATAGTAACTTATTTTAATTTTATTTTCAATAAATTAAGTGGAAAGACAAATAAAAAGAAAGAATGATTAAAAAAAATGTTTATATAAATTCGGCCTTTTGGTGTCCAAGAGGTCTAGACCTCCAACTTTCCCTTTTGGAGCTTATATTGGCAAACTTTTTTAAATTCTCTCTCTCCCCCCCCCCCTCGTAGTTAATTTTTCCAAGGGAGACCCAACTTCTTGCTTTTTGTATTTTGACATACAATCTGACGATTACCCAATGTAAATGATAAAGTAGAATGCGGTGATATAGTACTTTATTTTTATTTCCAATAAATTAAGTGGAAAGACAAATAAAAAGAAAGAAGGACTAAAACAATATTTATACAAATTCGGCCATTTTTTTTGTCCAGGGGGTCTTGACCTGCAACCCTTTTGGAGCTTATACTAACTTTTTTGAATTCTCTTTTTTTTCTTTTTTAAACAAATTGTACCTTTTGCCCTCGTAGTTAATTTTTCCAAGAGAGATCCAACTTTAGGCTTCTTGGGTTTATCTTGACAAACAACGCGATGATTACCCAATGTAAATGATGATGTAGAATGCCGTGAAATAGTACTTTATTTTTATTTTCTTTCCAATAAATTAAGTGGAAAAAAAGAATGACAACATTTTTTAAAACAAATTCGGAGATTTCATTTAGTCTAAAGTGGTCTTGACCTGCAACTACCATTCTGAGGCTTATATTGGCAAACTTCTGTTTAAAAACAAAATAAATCTATTTGTACGACGAAATCCTTAGTATTTTTTGGTAGTTTTACACAAACCCTAAATAAATTCTGTTGATCGGTAAAATTGCAAAACGAACACATCTACTACTCCTGCAATAAAAGTAATTAGCAAATGATTTTTTTAAAAAGCGAAATGTACCTTTCGCTCTCGTAGTTAATTTTTCCAAAAGAGGCCCAACTTTCGGCTTCTTGGTCTTATCTTGGCAAACAACGTGATGATTACCCAATATAAGATGATGTAGAATGCGGTGAAATAGTAATTTATTTCGATTTTCTTTCCAATAAATTAAGCGGAAAGAGAAATAAAAAGAAAGAAGGACTAAAAAACCATTTATACATATCGACCATTTTTTTTGTTGTCAAAGGGGTATTGACCTGCAACTTTACCCTTTTGGGGCTTATATTGGATTCTGAACTTTTTTTTAAACAATATAAATCGATTTGTATGACGAGATCTTTTAGTATTTTTTGGTAGTTTTATACAAACCCTAAATAAATTCTGTTGATTGTTAAAATTGAAAAACGAACACATCTACTACTCTTGTAATAAAACTAACTAGCAATTGAATTTTTTTTTAGCGAACTGTACCTTTTGCTCTCGGAGTTAATTTTTCCAAGGGAGGCCCAACTTTCGTCCTCTTGGGTGTATCTTGACAAACAACGTGATGAAACGGGGGAGAAACTTACACAATACATTTGGACGGAAAGTCCGGGGACGGACGATTATTCTCCAGAGGCCTCCGCCCTCACGACCTTAACTCCTCCGATTGAACTTTCCACCCATCTGGGATGGGGCTCGATATATTGTACATGAATATGGTGACAAATCGTGACTCGCCGGCTAATGGGTTTAAAAATAAATTCTTTCCTAAGACTGACGTTCTTTCCGACAATGGGATGAAAAGGCCGATTTTCAACAATGTGACCGCATTAATCATTTCTATTTCAGGTCGGAAACTAAGCGAAAAATAAAAAAATTATACCGAGAGGGTAATTTGAAATTGTTAATCGTGAAGTTAGGATGTAATTTACCAAACAAATAAGACAAAAACTAAAAGAAAACTAAAAAATAGAGCCGAATATAAGACAGCGCATAAGAACTTGAAAAAAAGAAGTAATAACAATCATATTGTCCACCAGTTTTATATACAGTTTTATTTTGAATGTAGACTAAAATGAAAATGTTCAATACACCTTTTTTCCTGAATAATATTTTCCTAGGAAAAAGTAATATTTGTACATTTACAAAATAAGAACCACTTCGGCAGTGCGATCGGGCCTTCTCTCTCGTTTATATTGATTAGAAGGGTCGGATGAAAGCCCTTAGGTTTAAGGTGCCTTAGGTTCCACGTGTTCGTGCACACCTGGGTATATTTTTTGTGTTATATAGGAGCAGCTCCTCCATTCACGCTAATAAATTACATCCAAACACCAAGCTTCATTCACACTGCCCCAGAGTACACATAGTTCAATAGTGAAGAAGCTCCTCCATTCACGCTAATAAATTACATCCACACACCAGGCTTCATTCACACTGCCCCAGAGTACACGTAGTTCCATAGGGAAGAAGCTCCTCCATTCAAGCTAATAAATTACATCCAAACACCAGGCTTCATTCACACAGCCCCACCCAGCGTACACGTACTTCCATGGAGAAGAAGCTCATCCATTCTCGCTAATAAATTACATCCACACACCAGGCTTCATTCAAACTGCCCCAGAATACACGTAGTTCCATGGGGAAGAAGCTCCTCCATTCAAGCTAATAAATTACATCCAAACACCAGGCTTCATTCACATAGCCCCACCCAGCGTACACGTAGTTCCATGGGGAAGAAGCTCCTCCATTCACGCTAATAAATTACATCCATACACCAGGCTTCATTCACACTGCCTCAAAGTACTCGATGTTCCCTGGGGAAGAAGCTACTCCATTTACGCTAAAAAGATACATCCACAAAGCAGACTTTTTCACCCTGTCGTAGAGTACTCGATGATTTTGGTGAAATAGGAGAAGCTCATCCATTCACGTTAATAAATTACATCCATATACAGGCTTCTTTAACCCGCCCCAAAAACTATATTTCCCTGTGGTAATAGGGGAAAAAGCTCCTCCATTCACGCTAATAAATGACATCTACACACCAGACTTTATTCACACTGACCCAGAGTACTTGGTATTCCTCGGCGTAATAAAAGAAGACGATCTTCTATTCTAATAAATTACATCCTCACACTAGACTTTATTCACACTATAATGTTTCCTTGGTTGTTATCAGAGATGTGGTCAAAGAAAGATATTTTTAATTATTCCTTTTATATAAGGTCTTGGTTGAGATGAAAAAGTTAGTGTCACGAGTGAGATTCGAATCCACGACCTTCCGGCTCAATACACTGCTGCTCTAACCACTTGAGCTATCGTACATTTTTCGTTTCAACCAAGACCTTACATAAAAAGTATAATTAATTAAAAATATCTTTCTTTGACCACATCCTTGATAACAATCAAGAGAATATTGTCTACATAAGTTGGTCGATAAATCTACAAAAACTTTATTCACAATGACCTTGAGTATTC